TTTGCCAAAAATTCTCTTTTCAACTCTGTATACCTAGCTAAGTCCTAATACATTCTTCTAATGTTCTCTAAGCAGAGGTTCTCAACGTTGTCTAGACATCAGAATCATGGGCAGGACATCCTGCCATCAATCCAGTTTGAATCTCTATGTGGTGGAACCAAGGAATTAGCATTTTTAAAAGCTCCTTCTCTGGCACCTGAGTGGCTCAGTTGGTTAAGCGTCTGACTCTTGATTTTGGCTCAAGTCATGCTCTCAGGGTCCTGGGATCGAGACCCAAGTTCGGCTCCACACTCAGTGGGGAGTCTGTTAGAGAGTCTCTCTCTCTCCCTCTCCTGCTGCCCCTCCCCCCTCAAATAAATAAATAAATCTTAAAAAAAAAAAAAAAAGCTCCTCCAATATATAAGGAAGATGGGAAAACACTGTTCTAGGTGAGTTTCCTGGCCTCTTTGGAAGGCTTAAGCTTAATCATCTGTTTCACTAGGCCCGGTCTAGCCCTCTAACACTCATTAGATTTGCCTTAGCATATGTATTTCACCTCTGGAATATAAGCATTCCAAAGGCAGATGTCATATTCCACTACAGAGGTTTTGGTATATATCCAGTATGCACATTCTCATTCTCTCTCTCTCTCTCACACATATATACAGCTGAAATCAAAGTTTCACAAAAAAAACCCTGACCCAGAGTGATGGAGTCTGTCATTTCTTATTCTATTCTGCTAATTTCATTCCTTGCTACTTAAAAATTGTGATGCTAAGTAAAATAAATCAGACAGACAAAGACAAATACTATGTGATCTCTTTTATATGTGGAATCTAAAAAACAAAACAAAACAAAACAAAATTAGCTCACAGATGCAGAGAACAGATTGGTGGGTGCAAGAGGCGGAGCGGGGGAGAAATGGATGAACTGGGGGTTTTTTGGTTTAAAATATTAAATAAAAGTAAAAAAATAAAAATTGTGGACTAATACTCATTAAATTGATTATACAACCTAATAATTTGTCTGAACTGTGTTTGAAATGCATCTCCGTAATCATGTTTGTGCCAGTCCTAATGCCATGCTAGGCACTTAACAGGTGTTTACAACAGATTTCATGGATTAATCAAAGTTTTTAAGGAAATAATATATATAAAAATTTTACATATCCAAAACAGTAGGCAGTCATCACCAGGCAAAAGAAAAATATCAAGATTAACTTTCATATTCTTGAGACACCAAAGTAGAAAGATTAAAAAAATGTATAAAACTCAGTTCAAATTATAGCAACAGAAAGGAATACACAGAGGGTTTCCTTTTCTTAGAATTAGGGATCCTCAGATTACCTCTCTATTCTTAGATGTCCCAAGAAAGATGACAATCCAATTTATTCAGAATACTAATTGTGTTACTAAGATTGCATTCTTCCTTCTTCCTTTGGAATTAACCAGTGGGCCAAGATTTTTTTGTGAGAAACACTGAGGAAGCTACTTCCCCAATTCCCATAATGTATTAGAAATCTAAGCTTTCTTAATCAATTTACAGGTGCACGCTGATGTACAATTCAAAGTTTCTCAAACTAGTCTCTCTGGAAATGTTTTAATAGAAGAGAATTTTTATGATGGGGTGGGGGAGGAGCTATGGGTAAAACACATGAGCTTAGATAAGAAACTGAGTTTAGAGCTCTGGCCTGGGACAAGACCCAGATCACAGAAGAAGGAATGTCAAATAGTGATTGCTCTGTAGTTTCTCTAGCTGAGAAAAAGATCCTAATTACACCTTTATGACCATCTCTCCCCACCACATACCCCCCCTGACACACACCTTCTTTACAAGCTGGTATTACAATGATCTCTTAGGGGTGCTTAGAGTATCAGTTAAGATTGGCAGAATTCTTATGGAATATTAGCAAAGATACAGAGTCTTCCCATTTTCAGTTAGTTACCCATGGTTTTATGTTAGAACTTGGAATTGAGGAGATCTTTATTAATTCTCTGGGGCCCAAAGCAGAAATGTTTTGGATACAGGAAGTATCTGATTCAACTATGAATATTCATGAATATCTTCATTTTAAAGGTAAATCTGCAATGTAAACATTCTCAGACTGTCACCTCTCAGGGCTCTATATGATATTCTATAAAAATATATTGGCTTTAAAATTCCAGTAAGACTGTCAGAAATAACACTATTTATATGAAAAATCTCCTCATCCCGAAGTATAAGGACATCTATAATGTCCTTGCTTTTAGTAAGAGAACTAAATAAGCATTTCTTTCTAGTATGAGGAAGGAATTTTAATGGCTTTCAGAGTGAAATTACTCAGATTAATTCCATTCAGGAAGCATATGCTTCATAAAACATGTATTCTTATAGAACCCACAAATTGTGATTATTGCTGAGAGAATTAAATATCCTCTGAAGTGGATTGTAAATAACGGTGATACTCATTCTAGCAAGAGCTGGGGGGTCTCCATATATAGAAAAATTGATTGACAGTCATGGAACAAAAACATATTTGTGAAGTTTTTCACCCCCCTCCATATCCATTCAGCAGCATTTGTACGAAGGAAAACATCAACGCTTTTGGGGGGACAGATGTATTGGAATCTATTGGGAGAGCTGATGCTCTGGCTGGGCATTTGGAGTTTCCTTTTTTAATATGTAAGAATTATTTTCGCTCTACAGCATGAATCAAACAATGAACGTAATGCTACCAGCTTCTTCAAACAAAGTGAAAAGGCCTATCATTACACTTTTTTCCTTCACACATATTATAGAAAATTCTTTTGTTCAAAATTAAAAAAAAAATATCTTCAGAGGGGAAAAAAAGCAGAGACTTCCATTTAGCTGAAATACTGAAATTGCACATAATCTCCTAAGATATGTGGTTATATTTACTTTCAAGTTTGGCATTTCCATTTGTTGCTTTTAAGCCCCAGTACCTTAATTCAATTCTATCACTTGAAATGTGCCATTAACAACAATAATCAATAGTTTCAGTAGTTTTGACTTTTTTCCATGACATCTCCAAATCTTTCATCAAAAGACTGTTATCCGGTCATCTAACTGAAAATCAGAGCTGGCTATAAATGTCATTTCTATCCATAAAATGTAGTTTCAACCTCAGGCAACTGGAATTTATAGAAAACCCAATATTAACACAGAGGGAATGAGAAACTGTCTGTGTTTTAAAATAGTGTTGGGATCTCAGCTAGTCCTATTGTAGTTAAGAGGCAAAATGATATGTCTAAGGTTTTCAGGAACCCTAGAGGAGTTTTACATGGCTTTTAAGAATAAATACTTTTTATGCACAGTATAGCATAAGCGAAGCAAATGTCCTCTGCATAACTTTCAACTGTTTTTGAAAGGGAGATTAGAGATCTAAACACAAAATGTAGTTTATTCTCCATTCTCCCATAGGAAATATAGTTTAAAAACATGGCAATTTTTTTCTTTAATGATTCAGAATCTTGCAGTTTCTCAGAATTTTCGTTGTATAGTAATGCAGATAACAACATAGAGGAGATACATGGATGTATCTTAGCCCTCAGTCAGACTTGTTCACTAATTTAAGGGATGTTTAATTAAATCCTTATTATAAAATTATCTCTTGGATTATTCTTTCTTTTCAAAGTAATCTGCTAAAAAATCAACTTAAAGTTTTATTATTTATCTACCACAGCTGATGAGAATATGTGAGCCCATATATTTATTAAAATTCTAGGTGGCTTCATGGGTATTTAAAAGGAGAAATACAATTTTATTTATGAAATATCATAAGTTAAATAAGTTACAGCAGAACATTTTCTACCCATTCATCTAAGAGGGACCAAAAAAGTCTAACTTTGCATAGTTTTTACAATCTCGAGCCATGGGACATATCTACACAGATAAAGGCAGGTATTGCCCTAAACGAGCTAGTTCCAGTGATCAAAGTAACTCAACACACATTGTAGAGGAGTGAGTGGGGTCTGACGAGAATGGAAGACACGAATGAGGAATCCTAGAAGCTATGAGTTGCCACTATTATCAACTCTATGCACAAGAGCAGGCAAGTAGATCAAGTATCCTATCAAAACCGAAAAAAAGGAGGAGAAGGGAAACAAGGAGAGGAGGAGGAGAAGAAACATTGCTTATTATGGTCTGATTGTGGAAGTATTTTCCAACCTATGATATACCACCACTTTTTTTCATCATAATTTAAATATATGGAGAAAAGTAGTCCAAAAACTTGATCATATTATTTCGACACTCTAAAGTTTATTGAGATACTAGTAAAGATCTGGTATCAAGTCAGAAAACTCAACTATACGTAACAAAACTCCATAACAGTTCAGAAAATTATAGCAGGCACTGAGAATAAATTTAAGGGGCCTCCTTGAACCAAGACGTCATTTAAACAAAACTACCCTAAACTTCTATTTTCACTGTTTATGCATATGAAACTTTATAGCAATAATTTTTGTTTCTAGGAAGAAACAATTGTCTCAAAATTATATGATCACTAACTATGACAAATTTAGCCCTCTCATTTTTCTTTTTACAGATCGTGTTGGGAAGAAAGCTACAAAATGCCAGATTAACATTTCAAAATGTATTTGAAAGTAATGAAGGGCAACTGATTCAGTTAGCAACGCTAAATAAAACTGACAATTCATACAGATGCTTCCCCTGTAAAATATTAAATAAACACTGCAAAATGGCAACTTTTTCCAGTTAATAAACCAATCCCTAATTTATTTCTTGGAGCAAAGTTTCTTCTTGGCCAAAGCCCTGGTTTTACGGGCAAGTTTTCCCTGGTCAAAAACGCGTACCATTTTGAAGACTGGGGCGTTAAATGAAATACTAAATGCCTTTTCCTTCTCCCTCTGCCTCTTCCCCCTCTTGCCCACCCACTGCACTGTATCAGGCCATATAAAACAAGCACTTTCCTTTGGCCCCAGCACATCAGTGACGAGAACGGAGGCTGTGAATTGTTCACAAGGATTCACAAGAGGTCAAAGTAGAAAAGCTTTACTTACTTGCCATTGTTTCATCAGCTCTCTTACTCCCTTGGAATCTTCTAGGAGCCTTTCCTTATGGGTGGCATCCTGCAGGACGTTGGCAGTTGTCTCGGCTTCTGTAAGCCAGGCAAGGAACTTCTCCAGGTCCAGGGGGAACTGTTGCAGTAATCGGTGTGTTTCTTCCAGAGCAGCCTCTCGCTCACTCACTCTGCAAAGGAACAAATGTCCAGATGCGGTTCTCCTCAGTTATCACAATGGTGCACCTAGCATCCCCCATGAAAAGAGCAAAGATCAAGGGACGAAATCGTAATGTACCAACAAAGGGGTGGGTGGTTGCTAAAAGTCCTCTTAAAAGCAACAACAACTAGAATAGTGTGTGTGTGTGTGTGTGTGTGTATAGACTTTGGACAGGTCATATATGAACTTCCAAAAACAATCTTTTTTTTTTTTTAAGATTTTATTTATTGATTTATTTGAGAGAGAGGAAGAGAGGAGAGAGAGAGCACATGAGAGGGGGGAGGGTCAGAGGGAGAAGCAGAATCCCCGCCGAGCAGGGAGCCCGATGCGGGACTCGATCCAGGGACTCCAGGATCATGACCTGAGCCGAAGGCAGTCGCTTAACCAACTGAGCCACCCAGGCGCCCCAACAATCTTTTTTTTTTAACTTGATAGTTTTTTACTGGTCGATTGTGAAAGCTTATTTTCATATGTGGCAAAAGCATAGGCTCCTCTTTATAGGTAAAGCTCCCAAATCCCTACGCCATGTTTATCTTTGATGTCACCTGAGGCAGAAAGTCAGGATTAGGTAGGCAAGGAAAAAGGTCAAGAAAATGCAAAGCTAGACCAGAAAGTTGAACACTGGAGGAAATAAGAGAAGAGGACTGGAGGGTAGAGGAGAACAGAAAGACTAACAAGGAGAAAAATGACATATTTCACAGAAACCGTTGTGCAAGATATCATTTTGCATGACACTATTGTGTTCTAATGGTTCTAACTATGGTGTTTGCTTTACATTTCATTATCTGATGGTCACGCAACTGAGAATATTCCCCCCCCCCCAAAAAAACTTCTGTGTAATGGAAAAAGTAAAGCCTAAAAAAACAGACAGATCTGGGTTCAAATCCCAATACCCTCTACCAACTGTGTGGTACGGCAAGTTACTTAACCTCTCTGAGTTCGAAGTTTCTCATCTGCAATGCCTACTGCTGGGCTGAGAATGAGAAGATGATAATGTGTGTCAAGATTACTGCTTCCCATGTACAGTTAGTTACACATTAGGGTTACTCAAACACATTCGTTCGCTCGGCCCACATCCCATTCCTCTTTCTCTAATCTTTTTTTTCTAAAAAAAGATTTTATTTATTTATTTGAGAGAGTGAGAGAGAGTGCCTGAGTGTGCGGGGGGAGGGGCAGAGGGAGAAGCAGATTCCCTGCGAGGAGGGAGCCCAATGCTGGGCTCGAACCCAGGACATTGAGACCATGACCTGAGCAGAAGGCACGTGCTTAACCAACTGAGCCACCCAGGCGCCCCCACCCATCCTCTAATCTTTTAGAAGGGGTGAACCAAATTTCCTAATGGCACATAAATCTAAAAAAATTATTCATATTTTTTCTGATTTTATATATATATATATATAATATACACACATATATATATAATGCATGTATAGTGGATACACACACATATGCCCTCAGCAAAAATCTACATAAATAACAGCTTAGAGGGAAAATTGCCTTTGGCAGTAACAGTCCCATCTAAAAAGATTCAGGTAAATTTTGTCTGCAATGAGGAAATTAGTACTCTATTTAAATGCCATATTTGCTTTCTATTACTACACAAACACTTTCTGGGATTAAACATAAACTAAAAATGGATTTTAAAAAATTGAACACTTGAATATGATACACACTGCTTGTTAGGATGTGATTGTCAATAATTATGCGAAACTGCAATTTATTTCAGCAGCAACTTTATCATGGGATGTGCAAACCAAGCAATAAACAGCTCCTGCCGAGCCAGCGGCAGCAAAGCCCCCGGAAGAGCTGTTTATTCATCACGGGTGAGGTTTTTGCTGAGCCTACAGTCTTCCACAGTGTAGTTTCAGTGCTCATACTGGATAAAAATCTTCTGTCTGCATTAACTGGTGGAGGGGAGAATAGGTTTAGGAGGACGCAGCTATTGGAAAAAAGGAAGCATTACACAAAGCTATTTATCAGCCCCTAAATAAACTTTAATGCTGCAGAGCTGAAAGGTACCTTGGTGCCCGGGTTGGGCAAATCAGTTAAACCTTGCATAGTTCAGGGGCTGACCTGGACTGCTTGCTCCCTGCGTATCTGGTGTTCAAACTATCAATGGAGGGAGAAAGATCGAAATTGTTATTTATTTATCTTTTTATTCAGTATGATTTAAAAGCTCAGAACCACTGCAACAGCACTGAGAATCTTAATGTCATAATCTGGCAGGAAATGAGCAGGTGGAAGCATGTGTAACTTGCTCACATCCAGCCGGTTCTGACCTGCAAGAGTGGCAATTTCATCCAGTTCAAGCTACTATTTCTAGGTTGGCTTGCACATCAGAAATCACTAAGACTTACGCCACATCCAGCCTAAAATTTGGGATAGAAATAAGCTGTCACGTTCCAGAAGCCAAGTGCAGGGTCAGACGATGACATATTTTCTCACATGCTCCAACTTTATGGGGAATAAAAGGACAAAAATGAAACTCTCAGGGCAGAGTGAAGCTCAGAGAGTTAGACAGTGTGCATTTTATTATCAGGGTCATCCTCATCATGAGCTGCACAGGATGCTCCCCTATTCTTTTTTTTTTTTTTTTAAAGATTTTATTTATTTATTTGAGAGAGAGAATGAGAGACAGAGAGCATGAGAGGGAGGAGGGTCAGAGGGAGAAGCAGACTTCCTGCCGAGCAGGGAGCCCGATGCGGGACTCGATCCCGGGACTCCGGGATCATGACCTGAGCTGAAGGCAGTCGCTTAACCAACTGAGCCACCCAGGTGCCCGGATGCTCCCCTATTCTTGAACTGAAAATGCCGCTTACCCTCTGCTTCCAGAGAAAGTAACTAGTAAATAACTTTCCAAGAGTTCTCTGTAAAATACGATGCACATAAATTAGATGAAAGGGTTCTACTGAGACAATGAGATTTCTAGCCAAATCCTACCAGTGAGTTTGCTGCTTTGTAAATTAGGCCCTTAGGGAAGAACCGTAACTCTTGCAGGACAGTAAGGCACCGTTTTCCTCAACAATACCCTCATGCTTGGAAATACTGACAACATCAGGCTGAATCGTTGCTAATTTGGAAAATATGTTAACAAAATTCAATGGCTGCGAGAGCAGAAAATCTCTTCAAATGAGTTCTTTTATAGGCCTCTTTGATCAGAGGTGAGACTGTTGTTTCCTGTTCATGTGGGAGTTTTAAGGCTACATCCTTTCTCCTGAGATCAATCTACGTACACCGAATTCCTAAATTTTAATTGCACCAAGTCTAGACCAGAAATGAGTCAAGGGTACTTGTATGTCATATTTGTGTATTCAAAATAGCTCTGGATGTATCTTGTCCTTTTTAATTTTCCATAACCATATGGCTTTAAGTGGCTTATATGATAAATAAAAAATGCAGAAGTAATGAGAATCATAAAGAAATTTTAAAAATTGTTTTAGATTACAAAAGTGAAGATTTTGAACATGGATTATTCTGTAAATTCCCCTGTCCAGGTTATCCAGGTATAGAACCTGGAGAAAATTTGGCTGAACTTTAAAACTAACAATGCCCAGGTATCAGAAATAGTAATAATACTTTACAAATATAATCTATGATAGAGGTTAAGTGCTTTTTTATGTAACAAATTTTAATTATCAACTATTCTAGGTTTATAATCTACAACAATAGCTAAGAATCTGGTGGAGTATGGACTGCTATGGTGACTTTAAAAGGTTTTCTTTCTGTTCATAAGGGCACAATATACCATTCTCAAGTGCCTAAATATGAGCGGTATGGTACAGTGGTTCTCAAAGTATGACCCACAGACCAGGGGCATCAACATTATCTGAGAACTTATTAGAAATGTAAATTCTCAAGCTCTACCCTAGACCTACTGATCAGAAGGTCTGTGCATGGAGCCCAGCGAGCTGCGTTTTCATAAGCCTTCTAGGTGATTCCGATATATGCTAAAGTTTTGTGAATTACAGCTGCTGGAGACCCATCCATTTTGCCCTAGCTTCTGAGAAAGCTGCTGGAGGCAGGATGCATCCAGTAACTAGTTAATGTGTGGGCTATAAAAGCCTGGCCCCCTTGCTCCAACTCAGGACAATTTGGGAGGATGGGGAGAGGGATGGGGAGTTGATTGATGTTGTGGTGGCAACTGCATTGAAGCCCGGGTTCTCCTTCTTCCCTATCCCGCTCCCTTCCCTTTCCTTCCCTCACAGGTGTTAATCCTGACAGCACTCGCCAATAAAATTCCTGCAAGTTAATTGCCTTCTCAGAATCTGCCTTCTGGGGAAACTGACATGCTGAGGTATCATACTAAATAAGGATTTAAAAAATATACATGCTTAAGAAGTGTATGTGAGAAATATACAGCTACTTGCACAGACTGTGGTCTCAAAAGGGGACAGGATGGAGTATTCTCACGCTCAGGAAATGAGCCTGAAGAGCTATTGCACTTTTGGTCGCCCTTTAAGAGGATCTATAGAGGGGAGCCGGGGTGGCTCAGTTGGTTAAGCGTCTGCCTTCGGCTCAGGTCATGATCCCAGGGTCCTCGGATCAAATCCCGCGTTGTCCTGTTCCCTGCTCAGTGGGAAGTCTGCTTCTCCCTCTCCCTCTGCTGCTCCCCCTGATGCTCCCCCTGCTTGTGCTCTCTTGCTCATGCTCTCTCTCTCTCAAATAAATAAATAAAATCTTTAAAAAATGTAAGAGGTGGAATATTACTCAGCCATCAGAAAGGATGAATACCCACCATTTGCATCAACTTGGATGGAACTGGAAGGGATTACGCTGAGTGAAATAAGTCAAGTAGAGGAAGACAATTATCATATGGTTTCATTTATATGTGGAATATAAGGAATAGCATGGAGGACATTAGGAGAAGGAAGGGAAAAATGAAGGGGGGGAATCAGAGGAGGAGATGAACCATGAGAGACTCCCGGAAAAAATCTGAGGGTTTCAGAGGGGAGGGGGGTGGGGAGATGGGGT